TGGTGTGCAGAGCAGAGGAGCTACTTCTCCTGTCGACAGGTGTGATATTATAACAAATGGGGAAAAACCCAAACTGCAGGCTTTAAAGCACATGATCACAAAGGGAGCAGATAATGTCCGAAAGGCGTGTCCTGTCCCAGGTCCAGCGAGACAGAGAAGGCTGCCCCACGGAGACCCAAACTCTCCAAACAAGTCCTCTCCAACGGCCACTTCAGCAAGTGGGCCTGCTAGGGCTCCCAGCGCATGGGTGAGCCCAGGTGCCTCCCAAGGCCCACAGGCATCAAAGCAGAGATGTGCACCTCCATCGAGCCCACCTGGGCCTGCTCACCCGAGCCGGACAAGACAGTGGGGCGAGGGCAGAAATAGGGGGCCTCCAAGTGGAGAATCCAGACCTAGTGTCCAACCTGACCTCTCTCCTGGCCCCCTTTCACCCAGATGGGCAGTGGACAAGCCAGGGACCTCCTGGAGGGACCCGGATGAGCTAGGCTTCAGGTGACTCGGGCTGTGCGTGAGAACTCTGCCCGGGACAGCCAGCTCCACGGAGGCGAGAGTCCACTTCAGGTGCAGGCCCACAGCTGTGGACAAGGAGAGCCAGACCGGGCCCAGCAGGACCCTCCCCTCCTCCCCTCCACAGGCTCTTTGGGGTGGGGTGGCCCTAGACTGAATGGGGCTACTGCTCATACCCTCTCCAGCAGGAAACCAGAATCACCCCCTCATCTCCACTCCAGAAGAGAGCCTCTCAGGCCTGCTTGGGCCCTCCAGGCAGGTCCTGGGCACCCCAGGGTACCGTCCAGGTTCACGCTCAGGCCCACCCACGCTTAACTGGGAGAATCTGGTGAAGACCCTGCCCTTGGACTGAAGGACGTCCTGACCCCCTTCTCACACAGCAGCCCATAACCCGCTTCCTCTCTCCTCTCCTAGGGTCGGGGACACGGAACAGCCCCCATCTTTATAAACAGGGCACTCCAGTAGAAGGCTCTGAATGGTGTTAACCCATACACTCTGGGCTGAAGGACTGATTCTCTAAAGATGCACATCAGCCCCCCCCACCCCCGGCCCCACCCTCTCTACTCCAGGCTCACATACCGCCTGGCTTGGTGGTCAAGCCTCCCATTGTGCCCTGGGCTGCAGCCCTCTCCTTCCAGGTCCAAACTGACCAAGGCAAGAGGGTTCTCGCTTCCGAATCGGGAGCTGTCCACTCCCCTTGAATTAAGGACTAGGGGGGTGTGTGCCAACAGCGAAACCACCCCTCTTCACCCCTGCCCACCCCACCTTACCCTTCCACCAGCTCCCAGGCGGGGCTCCGTCCAGCGGAGTTAATTCCGCTCACTCTAGAAAGGACGGTGGCCTCAGAGGCAGGACCTGGGGATTCCAACCTCACTACTGTGGCAACTCCCGTAGGGCGAGGCATCAGCCATCCAGGGGCAAGGAGGTGGGCCTTCCTGTCCCCGGGGCCACGCCTTCCAGCCGCAGGGGCAAGAGGGCGTCAGCTGAGGTCCCACTCACAAGGGCCGGGTAGGGCAGGGCCTTGCTTGCCAGTTAAGAATTACCTGGGACTCATATATCACTCTCAAAGCTGGTCCTACCTAGAGGCACATGGTTCAAATTCACCAGCTGCTTCTGGAGAAAGATGACCAATCTCCTCCTGTGCAATTAACTGCCTCGGACACCTGCTGGAGGCTCAGCTGTGGGTCAGTTCCCACTGGAAGGTGCACAACAACTAAGCTGGTTCCACCCAGACCATTAACTCAGGGCAGCTGCAGAAGGGACGAGGCTTCCAGGAACCGCAGGCAGCTGTGAGAGGAGGGGGCCAGAGAGGAAGCAGGAGCAAGCGGGTCAGGGCTGACTGCACCCCACTGTGTCCCACTGGGTCACTTAGATGGCACCTCCTCCTGCACTAAGTGGAGGCAGCGGTGGGTAAATTCGCTCAGCTTCACACGGGAGACCTGGGTTCAATACCCAGGCTAGGTGCTTCATGCATTCCCTATCTGTGGAGGCTTATGTGTTGCTCTGATGCTGGCGAGGTTTCAATGGTGTCTCCCGACGAAGACCAACTGGAGAAAGGGGCCAGGCGACCTGCTTCCAGTGAAAAGCCAAGGCCAACCCTCTGGGCACCAAGGTCAGACGGCGCCAGAAGGGGCAATCTTTCCTCGCACTGTGCATGGGGTCACCATGAGGCTTTTAGGGGGTAACTCTGGGGCTAACAAGCTCCTCCTCCATTCAGGGGGGATGTATGGATGCGTCCGCCCACTCCCACTGTCTCACCTGGCTACTCCCCATCCTCTGGTTACGAATAGGCTCGTGCTCCTCCCCCCACATCCCCACGGCTCATTCTCCTGAGCTGAGGAAGGTCCACTTCCCAGGGTGCTGTCAGAGGGAGACATGAGGAGGAGAAATGGCCATCGGGGCCCCAGCGGGAAGGATGCTCTCAAACAAGCTCTACCAAGAAAGCTGGACCACATAGACCTGCCCACCTTAGTGCAAAGCTCCTCATGCGGGAAACTTGGTCACCACTCAAAACGTCACCATCATCCTGCTGTTGTTACGTGCCATCGAGTCGCCTGCAACCCTATGTACAACAGCTCTGAACCCAGCCCTATCCTGAGCCAGTCTCACAGACTCCAAACACACCTAATCTCATTGACCCAGTTGTCATGTCAATCCACCTCATCCAGGGTCCTCCTCTCCTGTGCCTCCCTCCAGCCTTCCAAGCATGAAGTCCTTTCTCAAAGGACTGGTCCCTCCTGGCCATATGCCCAAAGCATGTGAGACAAAGCTTTAAAAGCCTCCAAGGAGAAACTTAGTTTCACCCTCTCCAAGCCAGACCTACTTGTTCTCCTGGTGGTCTGTAGTATGTTTAACACTCTTCTCCAGGACCACAACTCAAAGGCATCGATTCTTCTGTCATCCTTAGTCACTGTCAAGCTCTCTGAGGCACAGCATGTAATTGAGAAAACCATGGCCTGCATCAGGCACACCTTAGTCTCCAGACTGACATCACTGCTCTTCAGCATTCTGGAGAGGTCCCTGACAGCAGACTTCCCCAATGCAATTCGTCTTTTGATTGTCATGTTAGCTGTTATCAAGTCAACATGGCAACTTATGCATGCGGAGTTGGACTTCCTGGTGTTTTCAAGGCTGTGACCTTTCAGAAGGGTAGGTCACCAAGTCTATTTTTTCAGAAACCTGTAAATGTCCTGAACCACTAGCCTTCTGGTTAGTCATTGAAGATTTAACCATTTGCACCTCTCAGGGAGTCCTCACTGGTCCTTAAACCAAAACCTACAGACTCTGTGCCCAATTCATGATTTTGTTAGAGATCATCAAGTAGGAACAGTCTCATCGCTGACTCTCCAGCAGGTTTTCAGAAGCAGCTGCATGGGAGGAGACTGTATGTCCTTCTCCCGAGAGGCAGGTGGTGGATTCGAACCATGTACCTGTCGGTTGGCAGCGCCTTACCACTAAGCCATAAAGCCCACCAACTCACAGCACCCACTAAAAACCAAAGCACCCTGCCCTCCTCCAACGTGCAGTGACTCTACGACACATTCCACAACGAGCCAGCAGGTTTCCAAGGCTGCAAATCTTTTGAGAAGCAAACTGCCACATCTTTTTATCCAAGAATGGATTAGCACCAAGTGTTTAATCCACTGTGGCACCAGCCCAGGCGCAGAGCCCAGGCGTATCTATGGACCCAGATGTTCAGAAAATGCTTTCTCCCCAAAATGGTAACAGAATGTTCCCCAACGGCCTTGAAACAGCCCGAAGCTATTTCCAAAGTGCTCGAGGGAGGGAGGGGAGCGGGGGGGAAGGACAAGGTGGTCAGCAGCCCCCTCACCCACATTTTACCACCAGAACCACTTGAGAAACCGTCATGCGCCCGTGTGTTCACCTAAACATCCCAAACACCCACTCGGGTCTTTCACGCCAATCCAACAAGGGATGGACAGCACACAGTTTCAAGGAAGGAGTCTGAAAAGCAGAAAAGTGGCATGGTCTCGAGGCAGGAACGGGAACCAGAGGGGAGGCTGTCTATTTGATGGGGTGGATTTATGTCTTACACAGGGGTGTGACTCAGGGGCATATACACGTGTCCCTCTGGACAGCTGTGACCAAACTTGGTGCAGTCTGGGGAAGCCTTTGTCTATAGGGGTGGCTGGAAGTCTCTGGATATCAAGGCAGGCTGGTCCTCGACGCCCAGCGCTCCTGTGCCCACCAGGCTCGCTCTTCCAGGAGGGCGGACAGCACACAGAATGTCAAGGTTAGACTTTATCTCTTGGACGCAAAATTTACTCAAGCCAAAAACTGTAACAAAACAGTCTTTTCCGAATTCCCGAAACTCTCTGGAAAAAGGAGTCCTGTTTCCTCCGGCTTTAATCTTACACTGTCTGTGTTTACAATAAAATAGAACCACTTATTTATTTGCTTACCTACTTTGAAAGACAATAAATTGGAAAGGCTTCATAAATCTCTCGGGGAATTCCTTTAAACAAGGACTTGTCAGCAAACCCCTCCAGAGCCTCTCTTCCGCAGCAATCACTCCACCGTGCATTCTTCTTCTTCCTGCGTTTGTACTAATCTTCCAGCAAGCAAATCAAAGCAAGCCCCACAAAATTCCCTATTCTTAGGGGATCAGCCCCACCCAGACATCCAAGGAGCAGGGGTGGGCAGGTGGAGTGGTCTGAGAACAATCAGACACCAAGAAGACACAGGGGAGCCCCACAAGGGCTACCAGTGCACCCCCAAAACAAGACACACTGCTCTCACCAGTTGAAAACAAACGGACCAAGGCAGACAATCTGGTTCCAAAGCAGAGCTGGGCGCTGATATGAAATGCACGTTGATTTGCTCTGGAGCAGAGCCCTGAACAAAACATTCTGATGCAAAGTCCTATCAATGCAGGCCAGAAGGGGGTTCTTATTTTTACTCCCAGCGGGGCTCCGTGGCTCTGATGAACTTGCACCCTTCTAATCCTGCTGTGGACAGGGCATGGGGTCCAGGCAACAACTGGTCAAGCTGATCAAGAGCAGGAGAGCCTGGAGCTTGGGACCCACCTGTCCAGCGCCATATTAGACAGGACTAGCTGCCCCACCACTATGACTCCAAGGCAGTGGGAGGAAGGGCTGCCGGCGGCGACCTTGGGCAGTTCAGAACCAGCAGAAGATGGACAATCTCATGCTGAGCTTTCAAGGACTGTGCTAAAAATAAGTTTAAAATAAGAGGCAGAATGAGACTGGTGGATAATCAAACACGCAAGACTTGAAAGACACCTCTGTAATCAATTTACATATCAGGAAGGGTAATTACCAGAACCAGAGGGAATTTTTCTCCAAGCCAAAAGGTTAAAAAAAAGAAAAAGAAAATTCAGACCAGCAATCTACTATCCAAATGCAAAATTAAAATGCGTGTTTTCAGGAAGGACAAGACTAGAAAATTGCCTGCCAGCTTCCACAGCTCTAACTTTGGGCGGTGACCTTGACTGTGTGTGAGGCACCCGCTGTGGGCAGTTCTCTGCTTCACTGTGAAGGGCACCAATGGGTGTGCCTCTCTGAGTAAGTGACTGAGTCTCTCTGAGCCTAACGCATGGTCTCCGACGTGCTATTACTTACATGTAATTATTATTATTATTTCTGAAAGGCCCGACAATGTCAAGAAAACCCTTTGGGTCTACAGTCAAGAAGGCCCCATGGAAGAGTTCTACTCTAACACATGGGGTCATGCAGTCGCCCCATATTAGTGGCCAACTTGCTGGTTGACTGCCAAGTCAGAGCGCTCAGGTGACAAACCCAGATTTCAAACCCACCAGCGGCTCTATGGGAGAAAGATGGGCAACCTCCTCCCACGACATTCACAGCCTCGGAAACCCACCTCAGGTTGAGCTATGAGTTGGATCCGACTCGACAGCGATTAGTTTTTTTAAAATCACAGTATATAAGGTCTAGTGGTAAGAAGCTCTGCTACCAACCTCAAGGCATCTAGTTCAAATCCACCCACTGCTCTGAGGGTTGTGCAGTCTCCTGTGCTTCTCACAGCCTCTGGAAACCCACTGCAGGGCCCGCTATGAGCTGGTTCCAACTCGACGGCACCGACCGTGTGATGCTTTATTACTGTGAGCTCTGAGGTGGTACGTGTAACGTAACAGTCCAGCCTGAAATCAGCAGCGACTCCAAGAATGATGGGCAGTCTTCCTCTTACGAAGAAACTCAGTAGATGGCCACTGATGGACGGGCACTGTGAATCAGAACCATGGAGGCTGGTGGCACAGTGGTTAAGTGCTGGACTGTGAACTAAAAGGTCAGTAATCAGAAGGGCAGAGGAGAAAAGGGCTCTCTGCGTCCACGAAGATTTACGCCTTGGCAGTGTTGGTTGGGCCGCAGGTAAGGTGCTGGGCTAACCAAAGGCGATCCGCTCAGAACCACACACAGATCCAAGTGGCAAAGACAGGAAGTCTCTTCCCAGGAAGAGCCTCAAGCTCAGACACCCACCAGTCTGTACAGCAGCAATTTGAGTTTGTCGAGAAGCTAGTTCAGGAGACGTCAACTGCTAACCACAGGACCTGGCAGCTCTGATGGCCTAGTGGTAAGGAGAAGCAGCACTGCCAAGCCAAAGGCAAGTGGTTTGAATCCACCAGCCGCTCCACGGGAGAAAGGTGTACACTCTCCTCTGCAATTACTGCCTCTAGAAGCCGGCTGGAGGGTCAGCGCCTCCTCAACGGTACAAAACCAACCCTCATCACAAAAGGAGAAGCAGTTCAGACCCACGAGCTGCTCTGATAGACAATGATATGGCAGCCTGCTCTTGTGAGGCTTTACAGCTTCCGAAACCCTAGGAGGTTAACTCCAGTCTGCCTTACAGGCGAGGGGCTCACCGCGTCAGAACCAAGTGACCAGCAGTGAGTTTGGCTTTTGACATTATGCATCCGCCAGACACATGTGTTTTCCTCTTCTGCCTTGACCTGCACGCTCCTAGCACTCACTGACTCACCTCTCGGCCGTGGAGTCGGAATCCGCTCACAGGTGACACTCCGCTGTGTTTCTGGGGCTCTCCGTCATGTGACAGGAGACCGTGCATCTTTCTCCCTCAGAGCCATCAGTGGGTTCAGACTGAGAAAGGCCTGGCTTTGGGGTTAGCAGCACGACTGCCCACAGAGCGGAACCCCAGAGCCCCCGCCCCCAGCTCCTGTTATCTGGCCACCAGACAAGCGTATCTATTACAGAACCGCAAAAGATCCTCCTCTCACCCTGTGGTACAGGCATCCGAACTGTGCACGTGAAGAGGGTTTCGTTTCTGTCGCTGCCAACAGAGCCAGCCACACCCACGCACGTGTGTCACTAGTGCCACCATGGCTGCTGGTCACTCCCCTCCCCCCACCCCGTAGGCTGACCTTTAAGATGCACCCAAGGGATGGGTCCCCACCTGGAAGCCCCCTCCGCTCACGAGTGTGGAGCCCTGTGGGAGCTAGAGAGGGAAAGCTGTGCCCCGTGCCCACCAGGCCCTCACCACTCTGCGCAGGACAGAGGAGCTTCTGACCACAACACTCACCAGCACCCCAGGGCCTGTGTGCAGCACCCACTTTAATATGCTCACTAAATAACTTCATGACAGTGAAGTACTTGCCCCCTCCCCCACTCCCTCCCAGGCTTTACAAAATCCAACGTTGATTTTCCCCAGGAAGCTTTGAGTCAGAATTGACTCAACGGCAGTGGGTTTGGCTCTGAGCTCCTGAGACAGAAGAGACACTGGGCAGAGTAGACAGTTTGTGTGCTCAGCTTCTAACCAAAGGCTGGAGATGTTCTAGTCAGCCCTAAGGTGCTGCGGAAGAAAGGCCTGTCACCAATTTTTCAAAGAACCAGCCCCTGAGAATCCATCGAGCACAGACAGCTCCAGGGGGTCATGCACGGGGTCACCACAACTCACTGAAGATCTGTGGCCGCTGGTGTGCAAGTTATAAATGGTCACCTTGCTTCACCTGAGGGACTGGCAAGGTAGGACACAAACCCAGGACAAGGTGCAATGACAAGCCATGCTGACCTCTAGCTTCAGGACAGCAAATGGCGACCAGAAATGAATGTCCACCTGCCGTAAGCCCCAGGAGTCACAGCACAAGGACAAGAAGAGCGCTGGGGACACACACCCCTGCACCCAGAAGGGACACACCTTGTCCATTCCTCAGTGCTTCCCGAAGGAGGCGGGACAACTGGTGGCCAAGCGGTCACTCCAGTGCCCTGGACTTGAGGCCAGAGGCCACGGTGGCCGCAAGACACCTGTTCCCAGGCACCTTCCAAGAGGGGGCTGGCAGGACATTGTGGTGATGGCACCACGCGGGGGGAACGGCCGGAGGTACACCAGGCTGCAGGCTGGCCCTGGCACTGGCCATTCGCAGGCCAGCTGTTAAGAGAGGCAGACAGGCTTCTGACAGCAGTGGCTACTTTCTGATAGGACCTACTGAACCGGGACCACGTTCCCCAAGTCCAAGTCCACCTGGACAGCACAGGTGAGGCCACCCAGGGTCATCTGCTGGGACTAAAATATCCTTCCAGGCCCCTGAACATCACAAATGTACACACCTTCCTCCACAAACTCCCTAGGCTGGCCTCCCTGCGATCAGTTGGATTGGTGATGGCCAGGCTGGGGCAGGAGGTGAGGCTATTTCCAGGCGATGGAACAGTCCTCTAGCCACCACAGGGTGGTGACATAGTATTTGTCAAAACAAGGAGAACTGTGAGCCAAACGCTAGAATTTATGTACAATGACAACAAACTCACAGCTAATATGTCAATTCCAGCTTACAGAGACCCTCCAAGACTGGGCCGAACTGCCCACATGGTCTCCAGACACTCGGACGGCTTACACGTCTCCAAAGCCGCCTATCTTTATAGAGAATCGACTGCCACCTCTTCCTCCTAAGAAGGAGCTGGTGGGCTCAAACCACTGACTCTGGAGTTAGCAGTGGGGCGCACACGCACTGCACCCTCACCTCAATGGGACGCAGCGGCACAGCAGCTGCGACAGTGGGCTCACGGGTGCCAGAGATGATGAAGACGGTACAGGAAAGAACATGGCTCAGATGTGCTGTTCACAGGGTCGCTATGAGCTGTACCGTACGGCACCCAACAACAACAAAAGCAACAGCGAGGAGCCCTGGGGGCCTTGGGGTCAGGAGCTGCACCGCCAACCCAAAAGCAGGTCCTTGGAATCCACCAGCTGCTCCTTGCCACAATCCTCCCGCTGCTCAATTTCCGGCCTCAAACTCCCCTGCAGGGCTAGTTATGAGCTGCTTCTGACGCAAGGGCCTGTTAACAGTCACAGACACGGGGAGAGGAGCTGCAAAGCCCGAAGGTGCACATCTCTGGTGGTTCGAATCTACCCAGGGTAGATGGGCAATCTCCTCCCAGGTGGAGCAGAGCCTCAGAAACCCAAGGACAATAATGTAGTTAGACTTTTAATAAGGGTGGCCTCACAGACCTCAGAAAGCAGGCAATACAAAGATGGCTCTTCCCGTCCAAAGGCTAGCCTCGTTCACCATACACCTGCTCACTGAGTTTGCCAAGAATTCGAGTTTGTAATCCCAAAAGGAAGCATCAAGTGTCAACATTAGCTGAAAGGACTCCATTGCAGCCGACTTTGGGGAGTTCAATTCCCGGAAATTCCATTCTCCTGCAATTTTGTCAGAAGACGACGTAGTTCCCCAGGACGGTGCACTGTTAAGAGACAAAAGACAGGGTCCCCAGGAGTACTTCTCTTGACTGCTCTTACTTTGGGGCTCCTAATGTCACCTGGGTCGGCACTGCCCTGTACCCTGACCACGGAGGGTGTGGAGGGGCAGAAATGCCGGGCAGGGCCACCTGAGACCACCCTCACTAACCTTCCTCAAGCAGAGTATCCTCTGAGATGGGCACTACACTGCCTTACAGAGCTCCTTGGCGGCACCCCCTGGCAGGTGGCTCCTTTCCTTGGCCCGTGAATGGCCTGTGTGGCTAAGATGGACAGGGACTGCCGGAGCCCTGATCACTCTGGGCCCTGGGTTCCTTCTGCACAGGACACAGCAAGATCAGGCCCTGAAGATTTGGGCGCAGCTCAGCTTTTGTCATGGGGCAGGCTGGGTGCAAACGATGACTTCAGGGGCCAGAGCAAAAGGCAAGACACACCTCTCTGAATCTGTAAGACAGAGGTCACCATGCAAGCCAGAGGGTGGAGCCCCCAAAGCCAGCACAGTACC